GGTCTACAGACTGTCAGGTAAGTATCAGCAAATCCCATTACAAATTAGATGTACATACCAGTAATTTTTTCTTGGAGATCTCACAAACACTTGGTTTATGCAATTTATCCTGACATACTGAACACTCAGGAAGGGCTTGCAGATACAAAAGGTGGTGGTGCATTGAGGAAGATGGTTCCACTGTCCTCTATAGGTGAAATCTTGAAGGAAAACAAACTCTGCCAATTTTTGAAGTCACTCTTTTAGCAAACTTGAATTTTGTTGTATATAACAACTATTTTCATGCATATTTGAAAAAGTCTTAGAAAACCACATGCAAATGTCTGTATTAAGATAAGGTTCCTACAGTTGCAAAACTGTAGAATCATTTGGGTTGGAAGGAATGTCTGGAGGTGATTTGGCCCATACCCTCCAATAAAAACAATGCCAAATTTAGACCAGGTTGTACAGGGCCTTGTGAGGGCAAATTCTCATTATCTGCAGGGATAGAGTTCCGTATGTTCATCAGATAATAAAAACCAGATAATATTCAGTCTTCCTCAGCAAACAAAATGGTATTGTAGTTGCAGGGCAAATCAGAAGTAATAGATTGAAGCAGCATTTATAAGTAGGTTATTTATATTTCACCACTAGGAATAGTTCGTACTGAAATGCAACCTGTGATACTAAAGGGTGAAGACATTCTGAACCAAAAGAATTCCTGGCTTGTACATGAGTATCTGGAAATGCACATAAAATGTTGAGTAAGCTCATCTTCCTCAGTCTATCTATAGTGCACTGAAAAAAAGCCTTCTGCAAAGGATAAATCTTATCCTTAGACAACTGTGCATCAGTCATGGGAAGAGCCATTCACCTTCAGAGCTGGCATCACCAATATGCACAGTATCCCTAAAACACTAATTACAAGACTGCTATTTGTATAACTAAGTAATAACAGGGCTTAAATAGTATTACAAAACATTAAATTCTGTACATGACACTTTCTGTGGTGCTTTGGATGTATTTTATTTTTGATATTTCTTCTTTCTTTACTTTTCAGATTATTCTGCAAGTAAATTTGCAATCATGGGAATGATGGAAGCCATAGATTGGGAACTGTGTTGTGCAGGAAAACATGGTGTTAAAATCACAATCGTTTGCCCTTATTTTGTTCATACTGCATTAGCTAAAGGTTTTCAAAGCCAGTAAGTAAAATCTAGATCACGTACTACTTCATATGCAAAACCAGAATCATTAACCACTAGATATGCCATATCGAGTCTCCAAGTATTAAAAGGTTGGTTTGTTTTTTGATTTTTCAGTTCAGTATTTTCGCCCTGTTGGCTCAGTGCAACATCTCTCAACAGAAGAAATCCAGGTCTCATGAACAATTAATGTGACATACACCTGGGACAACATATAACATAACATAACATAAACATAACATAAACATAACATAATAGAATATAAAAATATATTTTAAATATGGTATAATATAAATATATATTCTGTTATATATTATATTATATTACGCATATAACTTCATGGTCAAGGAATGGTTGAGGATGTACAGCAGTATTTAAGACAACCTTATTTGTCAGCAGATTGGGCACTGTTGAGGCTCTCTGCCCCAAGTAAATTTGGCACTGTGATGACAGTTATAGCTGTCAGCCACGAACTGTCTTTATTAACAGGTCATTAATAAACAGGTTTATTATCTGCCCTGCTATCTGTATGAGCAGGTCCTGCACTTCTCTGAGTGAGAATAGCTGTGCTGGTAGTATCTGGTGGGTGGCCATACGGTTGTAGAGATGGGAGAGGCTGCAGGCACCAAATTAGCTGTTGCAGTAGTGCAATACCAGCGGTCTTGACTTTTCAGTGCTCTGGTCCTGCTTCCAACATTCATCATCCCGCAGTAACACATATTATACTTCTCAAAAGTAAGGTTTCATCATTTCACAGTGCTTTGTTTCTTGTTTCACCAGGTACCCCCTTTTACTTCCTGTTTATGATCCAGACTATGTAGCCAGTAGGATCATGGATGCAATTCAAAAGGACAAGTTTTATCTAATGATGCCTCCAACTTTACGCTTTGTTGGTCTCAAAAAGTAAGAATGTGACTCCTTTTTTAGCATTGCCTTCTTTCCTTTGCCACATGCCTGAAGAATCAGCAGGCA